CGTGTTCTGAAACCGGACTTGGGTCATAACAATGTGCACTCAAAATAACTCCAACTGTTGGAGAGTTTCTCTTATTCCCTTGTGTCTTCTGCTGATTATATTTGTGCGGCCTTTTTATTAAAAGCATTTTTTTTTCTTTTTTTTTCATTGTTGAGGAACTGTTTGTGGGTTAAAATCAATTTTCTGGTTTGGATTTAAAAAACAATCGACAACAGACACGGCGGTGTCTCTAGGGTTTGGGTGGTGGGGCTTTTCTTCCTGACATCTCATTTTTTGAATTCCGGACGAAATAGACTAAACATTACATTTAAATTGAATATTATTTTCTGTAACCGTTGTCGCTATCCCCGTTGGAAGTTTCAAGCCCCCCCCCCCCTCCCCCCCCCGTACCTACGTCACCTTTCTATTCTGTCCTGTAACAGCGTCACAGAGGTAATTCCCCCCCCCCCCCCCCCCCCCACTGCGACTGTCCACGTAGGTCTATGACATCGTTTATGGACTGCTCCGACTTCTTTTAGCTCCAGTTTAACTGAATTCTAAGCTTTTACAATTTGGACCAAGATCTATTTCCACCCCACCAAACCAGTTTTACACATCATTTCCCCTCCTCTAAACTCCGACACAGTTTATCTCACAGTTACCATTTCGTTAAAGTAAACTCAGACACCGTCTGCTGTCCCAAGATTCAAACGACAAGAAAGCAGACGGCCAACATTATTGGATCATTGATGTTGTTGTCGTTGTCAACAGGATTATCCTTTTTCTGTCGGCGGACTTCAAGCGTTAATCCCTTTTGTTTCTGTGTAATCTCTTACATATATGAAATGCTTTCAGTGTAATCTCTTACATATATGTAGGAATTCAGTTTAATTTCTTACAAATATGTAGGACTTTCAGTGTATTCTCTTACATATATGTAACGCTTTTAGTGAAAGCCCTTATATATATATATATATATATATATATATATATATATATATATATATATATATATATATATATATATATATATGTGTGTGTGTGTGTGTGTGTATGTAGCACTTTCAGTGTAGTCTCTTACATATATGTAACGCTTTAGTAAAAGCCCTTTTAGTCATTTTTTGCTACGCTGAAATAATATATATTTTCGTACTTTATTTTTATTTTCGTGAATGTTGTGGAACAAAATTTGTAATTTATGTTGTCTAGGTTTTACAATCTGCCTGTTGAGACAAAATTTGTGAAGCTGACTTTTGTCAATCTTGGTTGCTAATAACTGTTAGATCTTTTCTTGTTGATGAAGTGAAACAGTTTTAATGTGAGTATGACATCATGAGGTAGTGCTCACGTGCTGGTGTGGTAGTGACGTCTAGCTTCTAAAAATAATTATCATCAACTCGGTCAACAAATTAAGGCCACCCCAATCACCCGACAATCTCCGTTTTAAATAACGCCACAACACTTATTCTCCTGTTAATGTAAATAACTAATATAAACGTTTTTCTTCCTTTTAATTTTTTTAGAAACACAAACTACATCTTACATCATATTTCCTAAGCTCCTCCCCCCTCCCCTGTATAGGAGATCTTCACAAAAGTTGGGACCCCTCCCCTCCGTTGTGACGTTTATTCAGCCCTGTGATTGTCCTCTAGTCAGTTTTTACAAAATAATTTATTAGTGTACGCAAAGAATGAAACATTAAGGTTCGCATTATGCTAAACTTGAGTCAACAACCATGATGTTTTTACTACATCACCCGTGATGTCTATGCAACATGGTGATGCCTATACATCGTGATGTCTATACAACATCGTGATGTCTATACAACATCGTGATGTTATACAACATCGTGATGTCTATACAACATCGTGATGTTATACAACATCGTGATGTCTATACAACATCGTGATGTCTATACAACATCGTGATGTCTATACAACATCGTGATGTCTATACAACATCGTGATGTTATACAACATCGTGATCTCTATACAACATCGTGATGTCTATACAACATCGTGATGTCTATACAACATTGTAATGTCTATACAACATCGTGATGTCTATACAACATCGTGATGTCTATACAACATCGTGATGTCTATATATCGTGATGTCTATACAACATCGTGATGTCTATACAACATTGTTATGCCTATACAACATTGTGATGTCTATACAACATCGTGATCTCTATACAACATCGTGATGTCTATGCAACATTGTGATGTCGATACAACATCCTGATCTCTATACAACATCGTGATGTCTCTACAACATTGTGATGCATATACATCCTGATGTCTATACAACATCGTGATGTCTATACAACATCGTGATGTCTATACAACATTGTAATGTCTATACAACATCGTGATGTCTATACAACATCGTGATGTCTATACAACATCGTGATGTCTATATATCGTGATGTCTATACAACATCTTGATGTCTATACAACATCGTGATGTTATACAACATCGTGATCTCTATACAACATCGTGATGTCTATACAACATCGTGATGTTATACAACATTGTGATCTCTATACAACATCTTGATGTCTATACAACATCGTGATGTCTATACAACATCGTGATGTCTATACAACATCGTGATGTCTATACAACATCGTGATGTCTATATATCGTGATGTCTATACAACATTGTGATGTCTATACAACATCGTGATGTCTATACAACATCGTGATGTCTATATATCGTGATGTCTATACAACATCGTGATGTCTATACAACATTGTTATGTCTATACAACATTGTGATGTCTATACAACATCGTGATGTCTATGCAACATTGTGATGTCGATACAACATCGTGATGTCTATACATCCTGATGTCTATACAACATCGTGATGTCTATACAACATCGTGATGTCTATACAACATCGTGATGTCTATACAACATCGTGATGTCTATACAACATCGTGATGTCTATACAACATCGTGATGTCGATACAACATCGTGATGTCTATACAACATCGTGATGTCTATACAACATCGTGATGCCTATACAACATCGTGATGTCTATACAACATCGTGATGTCTATACAACATCGTGATGTCTATACAACATCGTGATGTCTATACAACATCGTGATGTCTATACAACATCGTGATGTCTATACAACATCGTGATGTCTATACAACATCGTGATGTCTATACAACATCGTGATGTCTATACAACATCGTGATGTCTATACATCGTGATGCCTATACAACATCGTGATGTCTATACAACATCGTGATGTCTATACAACATCGTGATGTCTATACAACATCGTGATGTCTATACAACATCCTGATCTCTATACAACATCGTGATGTCTATACAGCATCGTGATGTCTATACAGCATCGTGATGTCTATACAACATCGTGATGTCTATACAACATCGTGATGTCTATACAACATCGTAAGCCTATACAACATCGTGATGTCTATACAACATCGTGATGTCTATACAACATCGTGATGTCTATACATCGTGATGCCTATACAACATCGTGATGTCTATACAACATCGTGATGTCTATACAACATCGTGATGTCTATACAACATCGTGATGTCTATACAACATCCTGATCTCTATACAACATCGTGATGTCTATACAGCATCGTGATGTCTATACAGCATCGTGATGTCTATACAACATCGTGATGTCTATACAACATCGTGATCTCTATACAACATCGTGATGTCTATACAATACCTAACAGATGTCTCATGTCATGATGCTTGATGGCAATTATCTTTATTCCAGTCTCTGTCTGCCCACTACACGCAACCATCACACCCCCCCCCCCCCCACCGTACCTCGTCTATATGAACCTTCACCCACCTTATTAAATAAATCACAAGTATTGATTTTATAATAACCAGTGCTCGCTAGAATTTCAATGCCTTGGCCAACTGCGGCTGGCGAGGTTCTCAAATCTTTAGTGTTGTTCAATCTTAATGTATTGATGTTTAAACCACGGTGTTTACGTTACATATTTGCTGCTGTCGTGCACAGTGGTATGGAGGTGGAGAATGTGTTTCACTTATGGTACAGGCTTTTGTTATACCGTTCCTGTTTAAAATAGGTGCATGGTTTTGTGAATGTGAGAATCGCTTTTTCGTGAATGACACTCGAAAACTGAGATGAATTGTTAGAGAGGATAAGATGGCAAATAAAGGGAAGCTATCCGGTAACGGGAATACGTGCGTTGTCTCAGGAGTTACGGCTGTTTGTTGTTATGAATACGGAGGACTGACGTTTATTTTCTTTTATTGATCCTAGACTATTGGTATTAAGGGATTTTTATGAGAGTAATTTAAAGCTCTTGAATAGAGTTTTTTTTTCAAAGACTATATTAACTATAGACCTTATCTTTCCACTTGTCATTACTTTACCCGTCGGTCGTTGTTCTGCCGATAATTGGTGTGGGACTAGGACATTATGATTACTCACCCCCCCCCCCTAGTTCAGTTACCTCTGCCATTATCCCCAGATGAATTACCGCATGTCAGTTACCCCCTTCACTTGATATTACCTGATATTCAACATCATCTTTTCTCGTTCGTGCCCAAGACAAACGGGGCAGGTGAAGTAGAGTTTATCTGTTTCAGTTACCTTGGCGTACATGGGGATATTGTGCTCAGCACTTCCCAGCTGCCTAAGTTTTCTAACATAAATCAGGTACTCATCAGTGCTGGTTGGACTCAGGAGCTTTCTACGGACTCGAGCCCGGGATCCGAACTCTAGACTTTCGGGTTTGCAGTTGTAAGCTCTACAACTATACCATGCTGTCCCCTGTAGCGTAAAATGGTAGTCAGAAACCTGTTTTATAAAATGTTTTGGGCTGGGTTCATATGTAGAAATTCATTGGGGGGGGGGGGGGGGGGGGAAGAGAGTGACAGGGTTAATGTCCTGCTCCACACTGGTTTATTTACAGACTATTCAAAGTCTGATTCCTCTCTACTGTATGTACTGACACACCCTGACATTTTCAGATGATCCCTCCATTAGTCAGGCACACGCTCAGATCTCTGATAGGGGGAAGATGTTGTCAACACAGGGTCTTCAGCAGTGAGAGCAGTGGACAGCTGCTGACTATACAGGAGGGTAAGTTCTGTTTTAATCTGTAGTGGGCAGCTGCTGACTATACAGGAGGGTAAGTTCTGTTTTAATCTCTAGTGGACAGCTGCTCACTATACAGGAGGGTAAGTTCTGTTTTAATCTGTAGTGGACAGCTGCTGACTATACAGGAGGGTAAGTTCTGTTTTAATCTGTAGTGGGCAGCTGCTGACTATACAGGAGGGTAAGTTCTGTTTTAATCTGTAGTGGACAGCTGCTCTCTATACAGGAGGGTAAGTTCTGTTTTAATCTGTAGTGGGCAGCTGCTGACTATACAGGAGGGTAAGTTCTGTTTTAATCTGTAGTGGGCAGCTGCTGACTATACAGGAGGGTAAGTTCTGTTTTAATCTGTAGTGGACAGCTGCTGACTATACAGGTCAGTTCTGTTTTAATCTGTAGTGGACAGCTGCTGACTATACAGGTCAGTTCTGTTTTAATCTGTAGTGGACAGCTGCTCTCTATACAGGAGGGTAAGTTCTGTTTTAATCTGTAGTGGACAGCTGCTGACTATACAGGAGGGTAAGTTCTGTTTTAATCTGTAGTGGACAGCTACTCACTATACATGAGGGTAAGTTCTGTTTTAATCTGTAGTGGACAGCTGCTCACTATACAGGTCAGTTCTGTTTTAATCTGTAGTGGACAGCTACTCACTATACAGGAGGGTAAGTTCTGTTTTAATCTGTAGTGGACAGCTGCTCACTATACAGGTCAGTTCTGTTTTAATCTGTAGTGGACAGCTGCTGACTATACAGGAGGGTATGTTCTGTTTTAATCTGTAGTGGACAGCTGCTGACTATACAGGTCAGTTCTGTTTTAATCTGTAGTGGACAGCTGCTGACTATACAGTAGGGTATGTTGTTTTAATCTGTAGTGGACAGCTGCTCTCTATACAGGAGGGTAAGTTCTGTTTTAATCTGTAGTGGACAGCTGCTCTCTATACAGAAGGGTAAGTTCTGTTTTAATCTGTAGTGGACAGCTGCTCTCTATACAGGAGGGTAAGTTCTGTTTTAATCTGTAGTGGACAGCTGCTCTCTATACAGGAGGGTAAGTTCTGTTTTAATCTGTAGTGGACAGCTGCTCACTATACAGGTCAGTTCTGTTTTAATCTGTAGTGGACAGCTGCTCACTATACAGGTCAGTTCTGTTTTAATCTGTAGTGGACAGCTGCTGACTATATAGGAGGGTAAGTTCTGTTTTAATCTGTAGTGGACAGCTGCTGACTATACAGGAGGGTAAGTTCTGTTTTAATCTGTAGTGGACAGCTGCTCACTATACAGGTCAGTTCTGTTTTAATCTGTAGTGGACAGCTGCTCAGTATACCAGAAGGTCAGTTCTGTTTTAATCTGTAGTGGACAGCTGCTGACTATACAGGTCAGTTCTGTTTTAATCTGTAGTGGACAGCTGCTGACTATACAGTAGGGTATGTTGTTTTAATCTGTAGTGGACAGCTGCTCTATATACAGGAGGGTAAGTTCTGTTTTAATCTGTAGTGGACAGCTGCTCTCTATACAGAAGGGTAAGTTCTGTTTTAATCTGTAGTGGACAGCTGCTCTCTATACAGAAGGGTAAGTTCTGTTTTAATCTGTAGTGGACAGCTGCTCTCTATACAGGAGGGTAAGTTCTGTTTTAATCTGTAGTGGACAGCTGCTGACTATACAAGAAGGTCAGTTCTGTTTTAATCTGTAGTGGACAGCTGCTGACTATACAAGAAGGTCAGTTCTGTTTTAATCTGTAGTGGACAACTACTGACTATACAGGAGGGTATGTTCTGTTTTAATCTGTAGTGGACAGCTGCTCACTATACAAGAAGGTCAGTTCTGTTTTAATCTTTAGAAATTGTGGTCTGAACTTTAATGTACATTGATATATGTATTATTTTTTATTTTACTATGTATTTGTTTAATATTTACATATCATTTTTCTTTACTTCAGTCCGTGAAAACTTATCACAGATGGTTGGTGTTCGCAAGCAATGGCTGTAAGTACTTTGTGAACATCTTTCTACCTAGCTCTAGCTGTGGATTGCTGGCTGTAGTTTAGCTGAAGGTTGCTGACATAGTTAGTGACTGCTGAACATTCAAACAAAAAGAGAGTAGGATAAAGACATCTGAACAGTAGAATTGAAATTTCTTTATCAGTTGATGACTATAGTACTACAAACACTAAAATATAAATGTATACAGTACTGAAATCATTATACATACAATACAAACTTTTATTGCACTAAGACTATATTGTTACAGTTAAAACTTTTCTAGCGCTAAAATGATATTGCTATAATATAATTACACAAAATATAAAATTGCTGTTTGCCACATGGCTATAATGCTTTACTAACTATGCTCTCCCGCCTATGAAGTAAAAATTAAAAAACCACTTGACTTCCAGATCTGAAGTTGTCCCCCCTGTGGTTATGCAGAAGGTGGCTGAGTCCCAAGCAGAACTTCCTAAACGCAAGCCCAGCGACAGCTTTGTGAAGGCGGTCATTCCCCTCAGTCAGCCAGAGGCCAGGGAGAAATACATCACCTACACCAAGAAAATCAGATTTGGTCGCCTGTTAGAGGACTTTGATTCCCTAGGCGGTAAATAAAATGGCTTTTTAAAACTTTATGGTTTTATTGCTTGCAGCACCACAACGAGTTGAGGTCAGGGGGTCAAATGTGCTTGGTGACAACACTTAGGTTGGACTCTGATACTCATTAATGATCATTATTAAAAATTAATTTTTACCTAGTTAGAATAATACACATTGTTGACTGGTTTATGACTAATATTGACCAGTGATGTTGTTGGTATAGTTGTGTCTTGACAGGTAAGAAAGTATTATTGTAATTTAACTGACAGGTAATAAAGTATGATTTAAATTACTCATAGTAAAGTATGAATGTAATTGACAGATAGTAAAGTATAAACTACTTGACAGATAGTAAAGTATGATTTACTTGACAGATAGTAAAGTATGATTTACTTGACAGATAGTAAAGTATGATCTACTTGACAGGTAAAAAAGTATGATTGAAATTGACCAGTAGTAAAGTATGATCTACTTGACAGGTAGTAAAGTATGATCTACTTGGCAGGTAGTAAAGTATGATTGAAATTGACCAGTAGTAAAGTATGATCTACTTGACAGATAGTAAAGTATGATCTACTTGATAGTAAAGTATGATCTGTAATTGACAAGTAGTAAAGTATGATCTACTTGATAGTAAAGTATGATCTGTAATTGACAAGTAGTAAAGTATGAATGTAATTAACAGGTAATAAAGTGTGATTGTATTTGACATGTAGTAAAGTATGATCCACCTGACAGGTAACAAAGTGTGATTTACCTGACAGGTAATAAAGTGTGATTTACCTGACAGGTAATAAAGTGTGATTGTATTTGACAGGTAATAAAGTGTGATTGTATTTGACAGGTAATTAAGTGTGATTGTATTTGACAGGTAATAAAGTGTGATTGTATTTGACAGGTAATAAAGTGTGATTGTATTTGACATGTAGTAAAGTATGATCCACCTGACAGGTAATAAAGTGTGATTGTATTTGACATGTAGTAAAGTATGATCCACCTGACAGGTAATAAAGTGTGATTGTATTTGACATGTAGTAAAGTATGATCCACCTGACAGGTAATAAAGTGTGATTGTATTTGACATGTAGTAAAGTATGATCCACCTGACAGGTAACAAAGTGTGATTTACCTGACAGGTAACAAAGTGTGATTGTATTTGACAGGTCTGATCTGCTACAACCACAACAAAAACCCCTCACTGTCAGAAGACCAGAAATCTCCGTACGCTTTTGTTACAGCTCTTGTGGACCGCATAGGTTTGTGTTGGCGCCACTTTTTTGTTTCTCCAGTGTTTTGTCAATCTTTTAATTTCTAGTTTGTTCATTTGTTGGCTAGTCACATGCAAAAGATGTTTTCATGTTCATTTAATAATCTTTATGTTTATATGTCTATTGAATAAACTTGTTGTTAACTAATATTTGTTGTCTAATTAACACATTTGCTATTTTATTTTTGTGTTAACTATGCAAATTGTCATGTTAGCAGTATGATTCTATACTTGCTGCATATCGTTTTACCTAGTTGCGTTAAAACCTGAATAAATAAAATTATTTTAAGAAATTTTTTATAAAAATTTAATGCTTTGACTTAGAAATATTTTGACATGCTTAAAAGTTATTGTTATACTATTATTTGTTTTAGAGAAGTCGCCTTCAAAACCGTCGCTGTCTCCATATAAAGATATAATCTTGTATGGGCAAGTGACTTGGGTAGGCAGGTCTTCTATGGAGTGTACAATGCACTGTGAGCAGGTAATTTGTCAGCTGATAACTTATGCATTTTTATAGCATAGACGTTAGCATAGCTGAAATCAGCTTACACTGATGTAAATATATTTAATTAAATTTACTACAAATAATTCAAGTAAATTTATTTAGTCAGAAATACACACAGATAAAATAATAAATTCATTTTAATTCATAGAAAACAGCAAATTTTTATTTATTTTTTTAAAATCTCTTTACAAGGAAAGAGTTAGATCTAATATGGTTGTAGGTAATTAACTTCCAGTTTTTAATATCTGATGTGTTGATGAATTTGTTTAAGGAGTTTAATGGTGAGTGGCAAAAAGTCTTGACAGCAAGGTATTTGTTTGTAGCCAGGAACCCCATTCAGAATACGTAAGCACTTTAATATTATCAGTAGAAAACAACTGTCAGTAAAAAATATACATAATAAATTTATTTTAATGCATTGATCAGGTAAACATTATATTAAATTATTTTAAAAAATCATTTAATTAAATTAACAAATTATGACATTTATTAAATCAGTTTTAATATGGATGTAATTGGTTAATTGTAAACATTAGCTGTATTTTATTTAAGGGCTGGAGTGGTGAACCCACTTGATCCTCAGACTGAAGAGGAAATAGAACTCTTTAAACTTGGAGAAGGTAACATGCTATGATTGTTAAGATTTTGCTCAATGGTACAAAAAATACTGGACATTAATGCAATCAATATTTGAATCCTGTGTAAAACCATGCTTGTTTTTTAAATATGAAAGCATTGTTTAAAAAATTAATTATGATATAATTGATAAAATTAGTCTTATTGTTTAAATTTATTGCTTTTTTTTAAAATAATAAGTTTAATAAATTTTATTATAGCATTTTTTTAATCTAATTTACTAAAAATGTATTATAATGGTGTTTTATGTAGTTTTTGTTTTTTTATATTTATGGTACAACTCAGCTTGACCACTATCTACCCCTGGTTAGCATCAACATAAGGTCCAACTCACCTGACTGATATTAGTGCTCACTGCCAGTTAGCTGGCACGACTCACACATAATCCAAATGCTAACAATTAATAAATTTCTGTTCTGTTCTTTTAAAAAATACACATTATTGGTAATCATGACCCTAACTCTAGTCGCTACCCTTCACCTAACCCTCTATATGTATATACTAAAATTTCTGGGGGCCGACACTGGTAAAAGTATATATTTTCTAGATGTAACTAGGGTAGGCCTAGCTACTAGTTACAATCTGATGCAACTGATAACGAACGATAAGCCGCGACGCAGTATTACAGTCTGATGCAACTGATAGCAGGTGGCTTATTAGATCGGAATGATAACAATCTCAAAGCCAACGCGTGCTATTTTGGGAAACGGTACGAGGGGATTCAGACGGCCTGTCAACTTTGATTGATAGGATGCAGATGTTTATTAATCGGACTGTACGTTAGAACTGCGCAACTAGTAGTCGGAGACATCGAGTACAAGTATCGATTACGGAGGAATACAAGTACGAATACGAGTACGAATACAAGGGATAAATAGGAGGGGACGGCTGAACTCGCTCTCTTCCCTTTTCGATCGCTCGCTCTCTTCATCGCTCGCTTTAGATCAGTCAGTCTGTGTGACATATCAAGTTGGTTATATTGTGTTAAGAAGGACAATAGACATGTGGATTCAGTTATATGAAGCCTAGTGAGGACTGTTAGGGGTCAGTTGATTCAGACTATTATTGTGAAGCATTCCTGTTGATTCATTGTGTTATTTTGAAGCATTTCTTGATTCATGTAATAAAAGGATCAATAGCGAACCTGCATCTTCGAGTATTTCTACTGTAGTCGATGTTGTGTAGCATGAGTGGTTAAACTAGTTACATTTGGCACTACAGGCAAATAGTCTCGTAACATGTGGCGTTGCGAGCAGGGTAACTGTTCGCTCGTTACAATTGGCGTTGTCGGACAGGATGAATTCAACTAGACTTGCCGCTTTAGGCACCCATAGTCAACCTTGTGCATAACTGTGTTTAGTGTGTGTGTGAATTCGGACATTCAGGAACTGTGAAAATTGAGGAACGAGGAAAATTTTTTCATACACACACGGTAAGAAACGTCTTTTTTTATTTGAAGGAAATAAATAAAAGGGAAAACTGAAATCAGAATCGAGGAAATTGAAAAGAACAGAGATGAGACACCTTTCATTATCATTCTGGCTTGGTGTCACATGCTCTTTTGCTGCTGCAAGCATGTGGCTCAGTATACCCCTAGTTGTAGCACCAACTACCCTGGGGACAGCTATGGGGCTGACCACCAGCATCCAGATAATTGTCATTGGTATCTCCAACTGGGTTGTTGGACAAATACTGGGCAAAGATGGCAACCAAGATATGGATGTAACTCTTGGACACTGGAAATGGGTCATGAGCTCCCTTTTGGGCAACACTATCTGCTGCATAGCTGCAACATTTTTCCTTGGTGTGAGTGGCAGACGCGGGAGTGATATTTTAGATATTGGAAAGGAACAAAAACTCCTGCTGGCCCAACAATCTGAGTCAGATAAGATAGGCAACGGTAAAGATGACCCTTTGCCTCCAGATGGACCAGGACAAAATGTGGACAAAAAGCCGATCCATATAGTGGTCCTACCCAGTGAGTCCCACATCAACAAATTTCACGGGGACGGTGATCCAACCCTAACCAACAGGTTCAGTGAAGAGGTCAGGGCTGCCTGGGCCTCAAGATACATGTCACCAGAGGAAAGATTAAGACTGCTGATGGGAAGTATAGGAGAGACGGTCAGGGCAGAGGTAAAATGCCACGATAAAACCACCCAATCAGATCCAGATAAGGTGCTGGATCTGATTATGGAGACCTTTGGGGAGAGACGGTCGGGATCGCAACTGCTATCAGGGTTCGTAGGCTTAAGGCAGAGAATGGCGGAGAGTGTGATGGAGTACTCACACCGGATGAACAGGGCCTTTGATTCGGTAAAGGGCAAAACACCTGACATTGATGTGCGCCTACTGAGGGACCATTTCATCGAGGGGCTAGCAACCCCGATCTTAAGAAGAGAGTTGAAAGAGGAGGTCCACAAAGACCCGCAGTTGACCTTCCTTCAGGTCAGGAACTCAGCGATCCGCAGGTCCGAGGATGAGGACCAATCGAACTGTTCGGTGGACAAAGTCTCTGTGCCTGAACAGAGACAATCCCCACCCACAGGGGCCGACACGATGGAGACCATGATGGCTCAACTGTTGGCCCACCTGGTTAAGGTTGACCAACGATTGGAGAGGTTAGAAAGCAGGTCAACAGCTGAGAATCAGGGCAAAAACGGGACAAAACAGAGACAGGTTGGACAGCCGCGACCTGCCGCTCCATCGCTCCGGTGGACGGCTGACGGTCGACCAATTTGCTTGTCCTGTTCACAACCCGGACATATGGCACGGTACTGTCCGGTGAAACGATCGCCCTCTGTACGGCAGGTCAAGGCTACAGAGCGGCGAGGTAATGACTTAGTAAACAAAATGACACAGAAACACAGTAAGGAGAAAAAGAAAGGTAAAACACAACTAATGGAAAAAATGAACTGTGAAATGAACTGGGATGTTGAAAAGTTTCAAGTGAACAATTTGTTGGTAGAGAAAAATGATGATAAGAAGGAAATTGGTAGACTTAAGAATGAGATCTCAATGTTAACCAGGAAACTGGATAGGGAAAGGTCATGCAAATTAAAAGCACAGGAGAAATGTTCATCTTTAGAGTGTCTGTTATCGGAAGAAGTAAATAAAAATAGTAGACAACAGAACAGTGTTGGCAAACTAGAAGAAATGAAAGAGTCTCAAACAAGACTTGAAGAGAAATTATCCGATATTGAAAAAGAACTTCAAAGTACAGCAAGGCTGGGATCCATCGAACAGCGATGGGCAGCAGAATTGGCACTCGTTGACCTAGAGAGAAAACATCGCCCGGGGCGGTCCAATGGCAATGCGGACGCCTTATCAAGGAATCCTTACGAGAGACCGGGCGATGAGGAAGAAACGCTGACAGGAATATGTGAGGTCAGAGCGTCAACAGATATCCCTCATGGGGTACAAGTGATGCAAAACGGGCAGACCGGGGTGGAGCACATATCCACAGAGCCCGGACATATGGACAGTAGTGATTTTAATTGCCTTAACCACAAAAAGATAAGAGATGCCCAGAGAACGGATAGTGGCTTACAACCGCTATTGAAATACGTCCAGGAACAAAAATTCCCAGGAAGAAGGGAAAGAGAACAATTTGGTCGAGAAACAAAGAAAATACTGAGTCAGTGGGACCGTCTCAGTATAGAGGATGGTGTTCTCATGCGGAGAATTCATGACCAAATTGATGGGACAATACACCAGGTGGTGGTGCCTGGACAATTACGAGAAGAAGTGCTAAGGTTGGCACATGACAGGGCAGGACACCAGGGTCAGGACAGGACGCACAAAATTTTACGACGGAGGTGTTACTGGCCCAATATGGAAATGGAGGTCAAACGCCATTGTGAGGCTTGTGTGAGGTGTCAGCATGCGAAAATGCCAGTTGTCAAAATGAGACAGCCATCAGGACACCTACTAGCGACAAAACCACTAGAGATTGTGGCTATGGACTTTACGTCGTTGGAGCAATCATCGGATGGGACGGAACATGTGTTGGTAATGACTGATGTATTCACCAAATGGACTGTGGCGGTGCCCACACGAGATCAGACTGCCAAAACAGTGGCAAAGGTCTTAATAGAACATTGGTTCATCAAATATGGCATACCAAGACAATTACACTCTGACCAAGGAAGGGCTTTCGAGTCAGAAGTAATTAACCAACTGTGCAGCCACTACGGGATCAACAAATCTAGAACAACCACATTTAATCCGAAAGGAAACGGACAGTGTGAACGGTTCAACCGTAGCATGCATGATTTGCTGCGTACCCTAGAACCTGAACAGAAAAAACGTTGGCCTGATTTTCTCCCAGAGTTGGTATATCTATACAACTGCACCCCCCATGCCACAACCGGCTTTGCGCCACACATGTTGCTGTTCGGACGGGAGGCTCGACTCCCTCTTGATTTGTTCCTAGGAAAAAGGGAGAGTATGACTGGCTCATACACCGCACTGGAATATGTGAATGAACATATGAGAAGAATTAGAGAAATGTACAGGGTAGTACAGGAAAGACTAGAACATGAAGCACGGCGAAGGGAACCGCCGGTACAGACAAAGGACCCGCCACTCAAACTGAACGACAGGGTATTACTGCGTAGCCACCCGTTAGGCAGAAACAAAATCCACGATCTCTGGGGACAGGAGATATGGCAAGTCGTGGAGATGCCTAAAGTAGCAGGTGGCCCCTTTAAGATAAGACCCATCGATCACGCCAAACCGGATCGGTGGGCGAATATTGCTCAATTAAAGAAATATTGGAATAGGCAAGAAGAGCAGTTACACACAAGGAAATCCAAGACAATTAGGGAACCGGAAACTATAACGGAAATTCACATACCCATCCCGGAACCATATCACCATCAACAGAACAACCGCGATACACAAGGGGAGGATAACGGCAACAAAGAGGATCCCATTCCTTCCAGAAGCAGAGAGACAGTAGACCATCAGATAAGTGGTCCGCGGAGAAGTTTGAGGAACAGAAGGAAGACGAAATTTTTTGTCAGCAACCATCAATTCTTTCATGGTCGCGCTGGTATGAGAACAGACGGTTCAAAAAGCTATAAAAGTGAACTGGTGAAGGCACCAAACGAAAAGGGTGGATGTGAATTCTAGAACTGTTTTGTGTCTCAGGAAGATGATGTAGACACAGTTGATATGTGAAATAGGTATAACTGTCAATCGTATACGAATGGGACGACGTGGACAGTGAGTGGAACAATAAAATTTTTTTTACGATTGTGCGATTGACTTTGGAGGAGTGCACCTGCCAGGCGTTGTTTGTGGTTGAAAACACACAAAAAAAGGCAGGGGTGGATGTAACTAGGGTAGGCCTAGCTACTAGTTACAATCTGATGCAACTGATAACGAACGATAAGCCGCGACGCAGTATTACAGTCTGATGCAACTGATAGCAGGTGGCTTATTAGATCGGAATGATAACAATCTCAAAGCCAACGCGTGCTATTTTGGGAAACGGTACGAGGGGATTCAGACGGCCTGTCAACTTTGATTGATAGGATGCAGATGTTTATTAATCGGACTGTACGTTAGAACTGCGCAACTAGTAGTCGGAGACATCGAGTACAAGTATCGATTACGGAGGAATACAAGTACGAATACGAGTACGAATACAAGGGATAAATAGGAGGGGACGGCTGAACTCGCTCTCTTCCCTTTTCGATCGCTCGCTCTCTTCATCGCTCGCTTTAGATCAGTCAGTCTGTGTGACATATCAAGTTGGTTATATTGTGTTAAGAAGGACAATAGACATGTGGATTCAGTTATATGAAGCCTAGTGAGGACTGTTAGGGGTCAGTTGATTCAGACTATTATTGTGAAGCATTCCTGTTGATTCATTGTGTTATTTTGAAGCATTTCTTGATTCATGTAATAAAAGGATCAATAGCGAACCTGCATCTTCGAGTATTTCTACTGTAGTCGATGTTGTGTAGCATGAGTGGTTAAACTCGTTACATTTGGCACTACAGGCAAATAGTCTCGTAACATGTGGCGTTGCGAGCAGGGTAACTGTTCGCTCGTTACATATATAAATTCTATTATGCCTGGAAGAAACACTATATATGCCTTTGTTTTCATAAGGAAGTACCAAATGTCTATACATTGACATACATTTACAAGCTGTTTTGTCTTACCATCAGAAAATAAAAAGATTCGACAAAGAGAGGGCATGCAATCTCTTCTTAAGACACCCCCCACTGAGGAAGAAAGACTTACAATTCATGACTTGTTTTTATCAACTGTTGATTTAAAGTAAGTTTCATTATTCATGAGTTGTTTTTATCAACTGTTGAGTTAAAGTATTGTTTGTGTGATTTTAAAATTTACTGAACTATTGGTTTTTTTACTGCTGGTAGAAATCTTGAGTAACCAGAGACACTTTTGTAAGGGAAATCATTCTATCCCCTAGTATCTTAGTTTAATGCCACCGATTAAAATCAAAGAAATTGAAATCTTGTCTGACAGTTGTACTGACCTGCATTAATCATGGCTGAATTAATTCTACATAAAGAATGTGCTAAACTTGATAACATCACACTAGAAAGAATATAAAATTTGAAAAAAAAAAATGTCATTGCTGATAAGCTGGTACAAATTGAATTAAAACTTTGAATGATTGAACAAAGTTTTAACAAAAGAGCTAGTTAACCTCATATTGTCTTTATTTACCAGCTCTGGCACATTTAAAGTTCGAGTAAAACCAGAGAACTCGGTCTGGATGGATGAGACCATTAAAAAATCTCTCATCATTTGTCATCCTGAGGTAAGTATACACACATCTTACAACACATCTTAACACAAACATCTTAACACACACATCTTAACACACACATCTCAACACAAACATCTTAACACAAACATCTTAACACAAACAGCTTAACACACACATCTTACAACACACATCTTAACACAAACATCTTAACACACATATCTTAACACACATCTTAACACACACATCTTAACACAAACAGCTTCTATATTTTGCCTTTTAAAAACATTAAACTGTTATGTTTAACTAGATTCTCACAGTACAGTTTAAAGTCTTGTATTATCATTAAAGCATAATAACAGTAAATGTTTTTTTATTTAAAATGATTTCATGTGAAGGTACAGATTTTAAGTTTAAAATTATAACTAAACAGTTGTTTTATTAAAACTATTTCAGCAAAGAAATTTGTACAACAAAATATTTGGTGGATTTCTGATGAGGAAGGCTTATGAGCTAGCTTGGGCAAATACTTCATTTCATGCGTAGGTTTCGTTTTATTACGGTGCGAGTTTTTTTCGTGTAAAACTAAATTTTTCAGTTGATAAATTTTGTTTAATGCTAAATACAGTATTAGATGTTAAACATTTTACCTTTATTGTATTCATAATTTTTTTGTTTAATATTTATTTGTTTTTTAGAAAGACGCGACCTAATATATGTAAGATAGTTGACAATATTGTCTTCAGACGACCAGTTGAAATAGGATCGCTTTTGTTTCTTTCATCCCAGGTATATGATATAGATATATATTTATAAAACTGCTAAGAACTGTTGTCCAGTAATTGGTCTAAAATTTGCTTGTACGTTTGCCATGAACAGATTGTGTACACCAAAGGACCTGATGTTCAAGTTCATGTACATGCCGAGGTTGTGGACCCAGAAAAGGGCACAAGGGAAGCAACCAATGATTTCCACTTTACCTTTGATACAGGGATTCCCAATGTGCCAACAGTGATGCCTAAAACTTATGCTGGTACATTGTCATTTTTTTTTAACTTACTTGTCTATCTCTTTCAAGGGGTCGGTGTGGTCGAGTCGGTAAACCTCTTGGTTGCTAAACTGAAAAGTCTCGAGTTCGAACTCTTGGACAGATGAGGCTCGTTAGCTGGGGACAGCCACTCTTCTAGGAGAGACAACTCCAAAATCAAACAACTGCTGCCTTGTAATTTGTTCTTGGTTGGACAAAGGCTATGGAAGCAAATCCAAAAAGAATGGCCTCAATGGCACATAACCAGTTGACACGTATACATAATTGTGTTGGAGGGAACGAAGAAGAAGAAGAAAGTCCATCTCTTCTTGCAGAGAATTGAGAGCTCATCTTAAATTTCTTATTTAATAAAAAGGCTTGCTATAAATTAAATGTTGTATACAATGGGTACTTGTTAGGGTGAGTTAAGGCTGCTGGCTGACCACACTATGCCGAGGTTAAAGAAACTCTGCTTCATCTGCTTTATGGACCATTAGGTCTTTCATGTTAGATTATCTGAAATATTCCTTAAAAACATTCAAATAAATAAATTGAATCTTGATGAGCATCTAAAATTTTTTATCTAATTTCAGAGTCAATGCTGTACTTAGTTGGAAAGCGATCTTACAATAGTTAAGACACAGGAGAGGCTTGATAGCAATTATTTCATTATTCTAGAAATAGAAACTCATTGCTTTTATTTGCAAATGTGTTCTAATCAATTTTTTTGTTATTAACCTATAAGCAAAGACAAGCATGTGTGTTGATAGTCGTTAAAATGACTTATTGATTTAAAATGTTTAAAATAAGTTGTTGTATATTTGTGGGCTGGGAAGATGTTGACAAAACCATACCAAAGCAGAGTTACTCTAGTTTGTTTCTTTTGAACATTTCTTGCATTTTTTTGAACTGTTTTAATGTAGTGTTACAATGTGTAAATTGTGAATATAAAAAGGATTTGAATAATTTGTAATTGTACATTTTTTTTTATCACAAGGCTTGTGCCAGATATATTTCTAACATTCATGTCAAAGTTGATGATTCCGCTTGTTAAAATAAATACAAATTTTCAGTAAATATATTTTTGATTAATTAATAACATTAAAAAGTACGCACGCCTATAAGAAATTGGTTAAAAAGTTCTGTAGCTTACAAATTTCTGTACATTCAACTGTTTTTATATTAAACTACATTGATGCATTTTATTTATTCAAATTTAATTTTTTTTTTAAATTTCCTAGTCATGAGCACACAGAACCATATTAATGTTCAGGTTGTAGGTTACGAACTATTATTTTAAGTTTACTAATGTTATTCAGTAGAATGTAGAAGATTTGAAATAAAGGTCTACTCCAATGTTGGAGTAATATGCTTAAAACAATTAAAAAGCATATTTGAAAACAATTATGAGTTATTAAACAAGTCTGGGACCTTGAAACACAAGCCTCTTTCCTTCCATTAAATAGTTAAATACAGTAAATAATTAACTGTAACGCAAGTAGAATTCAGTTTATTTTTTTATGTATTTGCTACAGCCAGTCTTTAGATTTTATTTAATGTATTTAAATTATATACAAGGTTTAGCCTAATTTTTGCAATATGTATAGTCCCTCCTTCCCCCACCCCCCAGCCCCCCAAGCTTTGTCTATGCATATCGTTAGACCTGCCTTCTCCACATCTACAACACAATTGTATATTGTTTATGTAAAGAAAAAATGGCCTAAATTTATTTTTGAGAAAAATTGTTTAGGAACATGATCTTATTTGCATCACATGTTGTTTTTAGTGTGTTGACCATTTATTTGTTATTATTTGTTTGTTGCTCTTTATTTGCTGATATATAATAATTTTGTTTACAAACTCCTTGTCCAGGCTTTGTATTTATTTCTATATTTAATTATTTTTAGATTCTGATAGATAGAATGTGTTCATGTATTTATAGATAGAATCTGATATATATATATATATATATATATATATATATATATATATATATATATAGGCCAAGGTATTTGAAGATTGCATTCTGCCTCCAGTCCAGCTGTTACGACCTGGATATTTTTTGTGTTGTTTGCCAGCTGTAGAAAGTTACATTGTAACTGAATTCTTCTCTTGACCAATCCAATCGATATCTCCACACACAGCACATACACTTATACCATATGGTCAATATGGATGTAAAGTCAGCTGATATATCCACACAGCACATACACTTATACCATATGGTCAATATGGATGTAAAATCAGCTGATATATCCACATACATTATACCATATGTCAATATGGATGTAAAATCAGCTGATATATCCACATACACTTATACCATATGTCAATACGGATGTAAAATCAACTGATATATCCACATACATTATACCATATGTCAATACGGATGTAAAATCAGCTGATATATCCACATACATTATACCATATGTCAATACGGATGTAAAATCAGCTGATATATCCACATACATTATACCATATGTCAATACGGATGTAAAATCAGCTGATATATCCATATACATTATACCATATGGTCAATATGGATGTAAAATCGGCTGAGAAACATGCTGACTTTTCAAAACTGATTTTTAAATTCCCTGTAGATTCTAGGTCTATATTCTCAGTCTGAAGGTAAAGAGAAGAACTTGAAAAATCTTCTTCTTGACAAACTAGCAACATCCCACTTAGATGACAACAAGACTTTCATCAACCTCCGCAAAAAAAAAATGTCCAACAGTCTTCTCATCCTACATCATAATCATTACACCAAATACGTGATATGCAGTTTTATAAAACTAAAAAAAAAAAATCCGCCTAAAAACACGGTTTCCACTTTATAACATGAACAACAGCAACCCTTCTAAAATGGCTCTGCGCTTCCGTTTCAATAAGTAATTTCGATAGCCAAAAGTTCATTTTTGTGGCTCGGGTCGACTTGTGTCAGAAGACGTGGAACTATCATATAGCTCTCAGGAGGTCGGTAGTTTTTAGATCAATCAAGAGGCACTGCTGAGCAGTTTCTTCCAGGTATCTCTTTTGAAGAAAGTCTACCCCCCTCCTCCCGAACGACATGGAATTTATATAGAAAACATAATTTTACCAGTGTCGTTGTTCCCCCCCCCCCCCCCCCCGAAAATATCGAGTGCCCCTCGGAGAAAAAAGTCTGGAAGAAACACTGCTGCTGAGTTGAGCTATGGTGGTGATAGGTGAACTGAACCTGGATGCAGTGGACTCACTTGGTCGTGTGTCACCCCAACAATTTTTGTTTGGTGTCACCCCTCTCTAATACTATTTTATTATTTTAAATAGATAAAAGATTAATTTTTATAGTAAGCGATATTTCTAAATCACCCGGCGCGGACCGTGCCCCCCCCCCCCCCCCCCCCGCATTGTGACACTATTGCCTGCGTGTATTTCTTGTCGTGTCCAGACCGCCAAACGTTTATAAATTTACTTTGGGTATTTGAAGTTAAGGAGGAAGTGGCGCTGTGTAGTACACACGCTGCGAAAGTCTCGCTCTGATGTGACACGCTGGGCGCTTGAGTACAACCCCCAGGGAAAGCACGGGATAGGGCGCGCAAGACAGACATGGAGGCGGAGTCTTCTTGAAGAACTGAAGACGGCCAGGGGCGGCTGCCCGGGGCGCCGACCTTAAGGGGGCGACAGAAGGGGTAGAGAAATTAATTTGAAAGCTCATTTTAAGCTGAAGTTTCGAAAAATAAACGACTACAAGGGTTTACACACTGATTTAACAACTTTGTGACACCGAAACAGGATAGCAACTTGTAAGAAGCGCCACAAACCTCTCCAACTGGGGGGGGGGGGGGTGCTTTTTCACAGACAGGAATAACTATATATAGAAATGGGGGGGGGGGGGATGCAAAATCGATAGTCCGCCCCGGGCGCCGGATTAGGTCGCTACGCCTCTGAAGACGGCATGGATGTCTTGGGAGTCTGCAAAATCAACAGCCAGGGACCAGACAAAATGGAGGGTTATGGTTGAGGCCGTGCGGCGTCAAAACGGCCAATGACAAAACGGCCCCGTCAATAGGACCCCGACATAAGAGCCCCAACAAATTGACCCCGTCAAAAGAGCCAGCGACATATGGACCCCGTCATATAACTCCTGACAAATAGGCTCCCGTCATTTAGGCTACCGACAAATGGGCTCACGTTATATAGGCTCACGACAAAAGGGCTCCGGTCAATAAGGCTCCCAACTAAAGGACCACTGACAATACAGTTTCTATAGAGACCGCAAAACGGTCTCATTGAATATGACACCTGCCAGTGGGACCCCTTCATCAATATTCTTTAGCTTATCTAACACTCTTAAGTAATACGTATGCATCTCTTGTTCGGCAGGCCTTGTTTTCATAATAGTTTATCTATTATAAGAAATAGTATCTATGACTTCCATAAATGAGTCGGTCATAGGCTGTTCCAACTTAGTGTGTGGGGAGAGGGGTCCACGCTGTACATTCCTACCTGCAGTATGCTTGTAGGTTATCAAAACAAAATGCCGTTATCATGTAAACATCATGTATATCATACATTTACACTTCTGTGCTCGCTATTAAGCAACAGATCTTTACTGTTGTAAAGTAAACATCAAATCTTAAGAATTGGTGGAATTTAGCTGTTAAGGGCTCGATTTGTTTGTGAATTGATGTTGGTTCATGAAAAACAATTTCACTCAGGCATTTAAAAGAGATTATAGTGGTATTGACGGTAGGACAAAATGGTTACTTTTAATCCAATAGTGGTCATGCTAGTCATTTGTCAGGAGCCAATATGTCGGGAGCCCATTTGTCAGGAGCCTAAATATCGGGAGCTCATTCGGCCTACATAGGCTTTAATCAGACTTAATTGTAACAATGTTTATCTATAGTCTGTTAATAATACAGTTGGATGTAGCACTGTTTTCTCTAAAGTTAGCACGGTTACGTAATGTTGTCACCCACACCGGGTGATACCATCTAGGGGGGGGGTGACACCAAGGCAAAAAATAGCAAAATATATAGAGATAAATGATTATTACACTTAAATAAGCGGTTCATTAGAGTCTTAAATAGTCTTTTAAGAGCAAATTTAACAAATTCCGACAAGGGTGGAAGGGGGGGGGGGTGACACCATGACGTAAACCTGCTAATGATAGAGACGATAGAGAAAACATGCTACATCAAGCTGTATTTATAACCGACTAAAGATAAAAATCGTTAGTAGGGGGGGGGGGGGGGAGTGGGGGGGGAGTGGGGGAAGTTACATTAGCTCAACGTTGCAAAATATGCCTATGGTAAACGGTTTGGTTTAGAATCAAAATAACTTATGTGTTAATCCATGTATGAGGGGGGGGGGGGGGAAATTAAATTTAAAAAATGTGAATACATACGCGTGCATATACATACTTACTTTCAGAGGCGTAGCGACCCTTCCCGGCGCCCGGGGACAAACTTTCGATTTGCATCCCCCCTTGAACTTTTCATTTGCACCCCCCTCAAACTTTCAATTTGCTTTTACAACCTATTTTGGCGCCCCCCCCAAGGTCGGCGCCCGGGGACATATGTCCCCCCCCCCCCCCGCCCCCCCCCCTCGCTACGCCTCTGCTTACTTATATAAATTCAAATTTGGCAGGCAATAGTACACGGGGGCCGGTACCGGTTGGCCGCAAAGTCCACGAAGAGGGGGTCAAAACTGATCTCGACTGACCGGCGCCTTATATGAGCTATTTAACAAAAAAAAAAAACACTTGCGCCGCACGACCCGCCCCCCCCCCCCCCTTGATATTTTGTGAGGTCGTAAACCGACCCTGGAGGATAACAAAAAACATTCCATTTGAATAAAACCCTTAGGGTTGTTAGATTTGTCTAGATACCGTATTTTCATATATAAACAATTGTGTGTGAAAAAGTAAACAAAGACTACGTCATTTGGTATGTGTACAGGGGAGGTAACTTTTTAAGTAATAATTTCTAAATAATGTTTTTACTATTTTAAAGAAAAAACAAACATCACAAAGTATAGCATTCGTTTAAATAGAAATTTCGTTATAAATTAAGTTATGTATTGTAATGATTTTGTGAAAGTTAATTCCAAAATTGAATTTAATATACTATTTATTTACGGGCCGACCCGCGGCGTATCATACGCCAGAGGTGTAGCGACCCTTCCCGGCGCCAGGGGACAAACTTTTCGATTTCCACCCCCCCCCCCTCAAACTTTCGATTTGCACCCCCCCTAAGATTTTGATTTGCATCCCCCTCAACCTTTCAATTTATTTTTCCAACCCATTTTGGCGCCGCATAAGGTCGGCGCCCGGGGTCCCCCCGCCTTCCCCCCTCGCTACGCTACTGTCATACGCCGCTATTTATTAGTTGTTTTATTTTCTACTTTTCAGTAATTCATTTGTGAATTCGACAGTACCAATGCTGCCACTGAAAATATTTGCTTTAAAACACTATCAGATGGTCCTTAAGGACGATACCCCCCTCCTTTCCCCCAACCCCCCCCCCCCCCTTGAAAGCAAACTCCTCTTAGCTACCTCCCCTAAGTTTAAAATCGTTTCAAACTACATTATCTGCCCCTAACAGGGGCGTAGCGAGGGGGGGGGGGGGCGGGGGTGCGGACCGCACCGGGTGACACCATTTAGGGGGGGTGACACCAAGGCAAAAAATAGCAAAATAAATAGAGAAAAACTTGAGGGGGGGGGGGGTGCAAATCGAAAGTTTGAGGGGGGGGGGGGGTGCTTACAGCTTGGTGTTTTCTATCGTCTCCAAGAAGAGAATTATATATTGATATACTTTTAATGAAGCCTTTGCAGTTCTAATAACCTAGCGAGTAAGAAGTTTGCGAATACCCCACCTATGTTTGCATGACTTAACATTACGCAGACTGTTTACGCTTAGGCCCTAACCACGCCACATAACAGCCTATCACATTAATTAATCATTCAAGTTCTCAAAAGCTTTTTGAAAACATAAGCGAAGCTTGGAAGTATGACTAGTATAAATAAATAAATACTATTTATATATATATAGTATCTCGCTATAACGGAGGGCGATTTAAGAATTTCTTACAGCACGCAACGGGGCGTCTGGGCGGTAATGTGGACAAACCAGCGCCCATGGTTTCTTCCAGACTTTTTTCTCCGGAAGGCACTTGATATTTTTTATATTTCCGGGGCGGGGGGCGGACTAAATTTTTTTCCGGGGGGGGGGGGGGGGGGGCGGACACTGGTAAAAGCATATATTTTCTATATAAATTTTCATTTCATTCTTAGCACCCCCCCACCCACACACGGCCTTTTGTGCCTACAATTGTAACCGTTGTTTGAATAAATTTGAATTTGAAATTTGAATTTGAAGATATGGCTGGAAGAAACACTGCCAGCGCTATAACAACAACTCTCTTTACATTCAAATTACTCAATTTTAGAAAACAAGGCTACGCGTCTAAAAATACACACTTGGTAACGCATAGATGTAATCTTCTTAAAGTATTGCATAAGCCCGCGGCAGCGGTTGGGACGGGATCGCTAGTATTATATCGCTAGTATTATTTTATAGCCTATTTATATAGACTTGTATTTTGTCCACTCCCCCCTCCCCAACCCCAAACTCAAAGGCTAGATCTGCCTTTAAGGTCAATGCAACACATTTGTTGCACAAGAAATTATTTTAAAAAAATAATCTTTCTACCATGGCTTTAAAAAAAAGAAATTTACAAAAAGCTCTCGTCTAATGTTAAAGTAAAGCTGATTCTAGATCTACTTCAGACTTAAAACATGGAAAATCTATTTAAGATCAATCAGACCCACACCTTTCCTTCGATAAAAGGCGCATGATTGTAAAGAAAGAGAGTACCTAGGCCTAGACCAGCAAATCGCAGCGCGTGAAGAATTTCCCAGCATTCTTATATTCTTGCCCAAAATGGAGGATCTTTCGGTTGAAGTTGGTGGAAACAACGGTGTTTATTATAAAGTGCGTAATTATCTATTACCCTCCATTAATTATAGTATGTAATGCCTTGAAAACTAAGAACTATAATTTTCCATTGCTGGACATGGTGCTGTAATTAATGTTAATTGCAGTCTTTAAATTTCAAAACTAATCATGTCTTGCACTCTAGGCCTAAAAATTAAATTTTTATGTAAGCTAGACCCCTGCCCTAATCCAGAAAAGTATTTTTTCCCCGTTCAATAGTACTCACTCTTCCTATTCCCAAATTCTAGATCTAATCAATATTGAATTAATAGTAGCCTAGTATTTACATCTAGAATCTAGATCCTCTCTTTTTACTTTATTACCTTTCTATGTAGATCTATCTAGATTTAGTTTCACTCAGTAATCAGTACACTGACAGTAGTACAGACAGTAGAATCTAGTTTGTCTTAAAATTAGATAGAAAATTACAAATTTAATTAGTTTCTAGATCTAGCTAGATTCTAGATCAATGTGCCTGATAGAACAGAGTACAGAGAGCTACAAGTAGAATGAATGACTCAATGCCTGAGTAACTGACAGTAATTGACTACTGAAAATCAGACTAAATTATAAAATAAAAATTTAATTGTAGCCTATCCTTTTGTACTTTTATCTTTTTTTATACTTTTATTTGAGGTATAATTTTGATGGGGCAGACAGAGACAGGACAATCGACTTTTGAATAGTGTGGAATTGTTGGTAGGCCCAAGACCTAAATCAAATCTAGTAATAAATTATAGGCCTAATGAATTAATATTGTAATGTAATGTCTCGTTAGGTTCAGAAGTTACTAGAGTTACGCTAGGACTTGGTTTGGGTTATGGATAGGATTGGTCATGACGTATAGCTTATATGATCTAACCTTAACAATTGTCAGGCCAACATGAGAGATCCTGTTAGTGTTTTTACTATAAGGCCTGTTAATTTAGGGGTACTGAGTATGATAAATGATAACACTGCGCCTCGCAGAATCTCATTATTTCAGTGCAAGACTCGAGAAATGGATGCTCTTACAGTTACATCCTTTGTCAGAAAAACTTACGACTTTTTTCTTTTCAATTTAGAAATAGGCCTACAGGTTCTTCTTGTCAATCCACACTAAAAACTTTAAAAAGTGAACAACCAGGTTAATTTTGAAAATTAAGTGTTATTTCTGAGAGCAATTACTTTTAGAAAAATGCTTCATTTTTGGCTGTGCAAGTTTTTTCCTACATCATTTAAAAAAAATTGTAATGTACTTTATACTGAACAAAAAAACCCACCCATTTGGTTCTTTTAAACTATTATTTTAATAATGCATTCTAAAGAATGACAACTTTAAAAACAAATTGATTATTAATAAATGGGCCTACCGTAAATAAAAAACTCAAAACAATTATAGGCTACACATCCACATGATAGATCTAGGCCTACTATGAACTTTTATAACAGCTTCACTTTTTCAGAATTTCTGCAGATAGTAAATTTAATTCAGAAAACTCAATTGATTCTCTCCTTGTCAACAGTAATAAATGTAACACAAAAGTGTATGGATATCTTAGAAAACACCAATTGTCTTTATTAAAAATCATATGCCTTTTTTTTAAAACCAGAGACTTAGACAGGGAAATAACAAATGAATAGGGCCTACTTATTAACATTATTATCTCCTGATACTGACTGAAAAGTAAAAGTAACCAGTAACTTTTTTGGCTCAGACTAAAAAAGTAATATGACTAAAATTATCTTTAGCTGTACAAAACTAAAGTTTTTGGTTGGTAAAAAATATGAGATGATTTATGCAGGCCTAATTGATATTACCATTTTCACTCACTATAATAACAGATACATCTTTTGAAATTAAGAATAACATAATTTAAAATATTTTGGGTTGTCACAGACAGATATTTACACAATCTTTATTTTTAATACATGTTCAAGCATTCAAGATCTTTTTAAAACTAATTTTGTACTTTCAAATTACTTTTTAAAACTAATTTTGTACTTTCAAATTACAGGCATACTTAAAAAGTTTCTCTGATGATGAGGTTTTGGTCTCTTTTGAAAACAAGTAATAATATATTTTGTATTAATTGTTAAATAAGGTGTTTATATAGATTTTTAAAGACTGGTTAAATTAGTATGCAGATATAAATTTCTACTACTTTTGATTATTCTGTTCTCTATTTCAGTTGGCAAGCAGATAAAAGAGTAAAACTTGTGAATGTGAGGCTGCCACCTAAAGCAGGCTCAAGCAAGCCAGAGTTTAGAGAAGATGAGAGGGTTGAGGTACGTATTTTTTTTACTGAGTTTGCTCTTATCTAAAAATATGTATTTTTAGGCATTTTAAGAAAGAAGTGAGATTCTGTACATTTCAAATATCAGCTAATGACTGTAAAATACTTTATTTTAATGAAAGGTATTTGGCAAAGTCAAAGATGAAGAAGGTCTAGCATGGTATCCTGCAAAAATAAAAATGTTGAAGGGTGAATTTGCTGTTGTTGCTTCTCCTTGGGATGCAAATGACATATTACCTTTAGATAAAATCAGATCAGTTAACCACAAGTTAGTACTGTTTCTATCTCTTCACTTAGTTGTTTTATTATTGATTGTTATAGATCTATGATAAGGATTTTTTTTTTTTGACAATGAATTACAATTAAAGAAAAATTACGGCTGTTAGTCAATGATATATTTTGTTATCAATAAACTTTCAGTCCTCCAATCACCAAAGAGTCATTTTTCCAGTTTGTGTTGGAAGTCCCACCTGATTTGAGAGAAGGGTTAGTATTGATGTCATTTTAAACAACAATTTTATAAATAGGATTCATTTTGATTAGGGAGGATTGGATAACATTTTATATGAAATTGTGCTGGTAAGGGCTGATATTAAGAATTTATTGACATTTTTGGCTTGTTGCTTGAATTAAACAATGTTGAATTACTCTTAAGGTGCCAGGAAGAAATAGCAATACAGGAATTTCGCAAGCATATAGGTGGTGCTATGGTGTCTTACAACCCAGAAGATAAATCACTGCATGTGCTTGTAAGTTGTTGATAAAAATATATTTATTAAAAACTATTTTAGAAAATATTTATTTTGTTAATGAAATTAAAATTAATCCAAAGTACATTAGTTAATTAGTTACATGATTATAGATTGGTAGGGCAAGGTATAATGTTTTTAAATTGGAGTTTGTATAAACAGCATTTAGGCCACCTAGTTTAAAAAAGTGCATTAATACAGTAAGCTAAGAACACTTTGGAAATTACAGTAGTGTTATGTCCAAGAAGACAAACACAGCTAGTTAGCAATTACATTTAAGAAGTCAAAATTGCTAATGGCAAAAATATTTTTATAAGGATTAAGTTAAAGCAACCATTATGTCAAACAAGCGTTTTAAGCAAAATATAAGCTCATTAATAAATTACTATAAGGCTTAAATAATAATCCACATTTATTGAAAAAAGAAATGACAGTTCTATTATCTTTTTATAACTGTAGAGCACTAGTCCAAGTGTCATCAAAAGAGCTTCTATGATTGGAGATATGTTCCTTAGAAACATGAGACAAAAAGTATTACTTAAACAGCGAACAGAAGAAGCAGTTAAAAAGCTTCAGGTAACTAGCAAATTTTATTATATCAAATCAAGCCTTTAAATTACATTTTTATTCTCTTATGTTACACTTAATATAGTATTAATTGATTGACAAATGAATATATAAATTCTCTTTGGTTTCAACTGAATTTTTTAGAGCACAAAGATCAGATCAGGGTACATGGAGGAATTTCAGGTCCGTGATGAACTGATGGGTTTAGCTATTGGCACTCATGGAGCTAACATACAGCAGGCCCGTAAGGTTGATGGCATTACTGGCATTGAACTGGATGAAGCTTCTTGTACATTTAAAGTCTATGGAGAGGTGTGTACTGTCATGGTTTAGTAAGAGGATAATTAGTAAAAAGAAATTTATTCAGGTTATGTTCATTAGTAATTTGGAGTAATTTCTAAACTATTTTTAAGACACAAGAAGCTGTTAAGTCTGCTCGAGGCTTATTAGAGTTTTCCGAGGAGACTTTTCAAGTGCCTAGAGATTTAGTAGGTAAGCAGAAATTACTGAAAGGAAAATATGTTAATGTTGTTTGTCAATTAAAATTTTTGTGTGAATAAAACATGTATTTAAATAAGTAATTGTTTTCTTAAAAGCCTATTCAAATTCACTTTTTGCAGCTAAAGTCATAGGAAAAAATGGCCGTAATATTCAAGACATAGTAGATAAATCAGGTGTGGTCCGTGTAAAGATTGAAGGAGACAACGAACATGAAACTGAAAGAGAAGAGGTATGATTGTGATGCATTAAATAAAACTATATCATTTATATAGGAAAATAAAAAAGAAAACGTTTCAATTTATTTTTTGTTATTGTAATATTGAAAATATTATAATTATATTAGTTTTAAAGTAAATGTGGATAAAAATAATTTAGTTCCTTTTTCATGACTGCCAAACATAAAATTAGTGCAATGATTTAGCTTCTCTGATTGTGCATATAATTGAAAACAGTTGTACACATCCTTTCAGGGCCAAGTGCCATTTATCTTTGTTGGAACTATGGAGAGTATTAGTAATGCCAAGCTCCTATTGGAGTATCACCTGGATCATCTTAAGGTAGCTTATTATACTGTACCTCAGTTTTATACCTTTCATTTTTTAAAAATCTAATGCAGAGAAGCATTTTAAAAAAAATAAATAAATAGGCTTACTTAAAATTTCTATTTTAAAACTTTAAATTAAGAAACTTGTTAATGTTTATATTTTGAAAAAAATTGTAACATATTTATTATATTTATTATTTGTTTTTCCATAGATCCTGTAGCTATTTGAGACAATATTAATAATCTTTAACCAACTCTTCCACAAGTTTTAATTCACTTTCTCTCTTTTTTTTCCCCCATTTATTGTTATAAACAAACATTAAATGGGATAAAGTACTTTTTCTAGATTTATATCAATTTATAAGTATTACTCTTATTCATTATTAATAAAAACAACCTAGATCACACATTCTTAAAACATTGTTGATTAAAAGATGATAATTAGTATTTCTAAATTGTATTTAGGAAGTGGAACAGTTACGACAAGCAAAACTTGAAATTGACCAACAGCTTAAGTCATTATCAGGGCCCCAACCAGGTTCTTACTTTCCCCCACCCCGTGACAGAAGATGGGGCTATCCGTAAGTAAAGTTCAATTATTTATGTATTTAACATGAAATAGTATAATTTAACTATTATTAATAAACAAACCCTGCGTATTTTAGGTTTACCATTGATATTTTCAATTTAAACAAAATTCAAAGTACAACTCAAATGTATTTTATGATTCATTCTGAACATCCATTTTTTGAAGTGAGCAGTTTGATGATAGAAGGGGGCGTGGTACCAGAGGTGGCCGTGGTGCTGGCAGAGGTCGTCGGTGGAATACAGATAGACATGGTGAGATATTTATTTGCCTGGGCATGTCAGTTGTTATGTTTTTTCACCTTGAATAATGTAAAGAAAAATAGTAATCATCCATAAAATAAGACTCTTTTTATCAAAGTTAACTTTATGAATGTGATGTATGGTATCTTTCCTAATCCTAAGGAAAGAGGTTTTATAAAACAATTTAAAAATAACTACAAATTAGACTTTCATCACATTGAAAGTTTAAGCATTTACTTATGCAAAAGAATTGATCAATTGTCAAACCACAGTAACTGTAGATGTGTAGTGGCAAATCTATACCTGTTGTCAATAGTCGCAACTCTTACTAATAACTATTTTTTCAATTCATAATAAAGGTGTATACATGTATCACTAAAAGTATAGTGATATTTAAGTTCCAACTTCTTTATATTCATTTGCTCTCTTCATGTCATTGAACTAGGTGATGATTCTACATTGCCAAATTCTATTGTTGGTGACTGGTCTGCTGAAGTGGAAGACGATAAAAGACAATCTGGATACCTAACAGATAGTATTCTCAGTGGACGTGGTCGAGGTGGTGGTGCTTACAGAAGGGGATCAAGGGGTGGAGGCATGAGAGGTGGTAGGGGTGGTCTACCACCTAGAGGATCAGGTAGAAACAATTCAAATTACCAATTTATATCTATACTTAAAGTGTCAGACAAAATTTTATATATTTATAAAATACATTGGACCAGGGTATGATGATGATGACTCACGAGATCTTCGATCACGGCGTAGAATGACTGATGATGATGATACAGTGCTTGATAATGCTAGTGTAACGAGTCAGGACCAAGGTGAATATGAATGAAATAATTTAAACACAAAAGATATTTGTCTTTATTAGAGAAAACTATGATTAAAACATTTCACAACTTGGTTACTATGCTTCATATCCATATTTCCAATCATTTTCAACCGGGTTATTGGTTTATTTTGATGTCAGTTATTTCTTATACTATATTCTTGCACTTTTAGATTATGACCAACAAGATCGCATGAGGCGTCCACGGAGGAAAAAAAATCGCCCTCGAGGAAACGGTAGTGCTGCTTCTGGCACAGAAACTGACACAAGTATCTCTAATTATAGGGGGGACCGCAATCCAGGTCGAGGCAGAGGAGGTCGTGGTGGCTATAACCAAAGGGGTCATGAATCTGATTCTGGAAGGGGTGGGTACAGGGGACAGGAGTCAGACTCAGGTCACCCACCTAGTGTCTCAAACTCGGTCGTTAGCCGCAGTTCAGTCAGTCCAGCAATGCAGACTGTAAATGGTGGAGGTGGTGACCGGCCCACTAAGCAGGAACCACCAGCTAAAGATCAGCGTGATGCAAGGCCACCTAGAGACACTAGACCAAGAGGGAGCAATAACAACTCCTCTGTACCTTCCACTGGAGCTTCTCAGCCTCCAAAGCAGATGGTAGGGAACCATCACAGTGGTAGTGATTCAGACTCTAAACTAGCTAAAAACAAACTGAATAATAACAGTGCCAAAGCAAAGGAACACATAGTGAATGGAGGAGAGTGACATGTTGTTGTGTCATAGTTTTTTTTAAGGTGTGACTGTCTTAACTAGCGTTGTTGAAATAGGAATAGTATGTTAGTGGTTGTGAGTCCAGAGAGAGTCGAATTAATTTATTGACGGTTTGTTGGACTAGATGATTTTGTGCCCAAGGTTCTCTTTCTACTGCTGGTGTTGATAAATAGGTTTCATCTGTGTGTGCTATGTAAAAATTTTGTACAATTTATATGTATCCATGTGTATGCAATGTTTAGAATGGTAGCTGGGCATAAGAATGTGTGTGAGTGGCGTCAACTCTTTTTGAATGAATGTTAAGTAGTAATGCATGAAGTGTTATTAGCACATTCTAAGTCTGGAATGTAAAAGTATTATCATAATCATTTTTCTAAGCAATTCATGTGTGTTAAATGTTTGAATATTTCTGCCTTGGAACAAATATTTGAGTTTTATCTAGAAAGATTGAGCTGAGCACCAAAATGAACAGCTTTCTTTGTCACAAATGCATCTAACTATTATCAGAGATATGAGCTTTCATGGCCAGCTGATTCACCAATTCTTCAGATCAGGAGTAACAGCGTGCTTGACTTTGGCATGATGAAGCAATGCATGTTAAAGAGTTTAATTGCTTTAATTCTAGTTATGTAGTTAGGGATTCATGTAACCCATGAGTTCCTTATGATGTACTTTATAAATGCAGAAGAAAGATATGTCCCCCGAGAAAGCTGAAGCAAGTGAAAACAACAAAATAAGTGCCTTATATCAATTTTGTCACATTTTTTTTATCTCTCAGAAATCCTCAAGGCATTATGTTGCTTATTGTGTAAGAATTGTGTAGAATGCATGTATAAAGTGTTAATGATGTAAAGAGGTTTCATGTGCAAGTTGTTTATTGAAGTTATTTATCATTCACCTTTCTTGGACTATTAAATAAAAAGACATAATCTTCTGCATAAAGAATAGGCTGAAAGTGCACCGAGAATGCCATGAAGATACAAGTCCTAATACACGATCTAACTGGAAAAAAAACTCAACTTATGACAAGGTTTACCAATTTGTGTGTAATTATAATGCTTTATAATAATGACTTCATTACATCTTTTAAATGTAGGTCTGATTAATTTAATGAAAGTCTACTTTTTTTAGCTATATCTATATTTTTTTTTTGTAATTGATCCATATGGAATTTTTTAGACTAAAAATGTGTTAATATAGACTTAATGAAAATGATGTTGAGCTGAAAAAGTTTTTTATAAAAGCAAACTTTTAATGAAATTCTGTCCCCCAATACTTAAAATAAATTCAATTTTTTTTTCTAATTTTCAAGGATGTAGAATATAACTGGGTCTAAAACAAATAATTTTAGGGATACTTAGTGGAAGAAAAACTAAGACATACCAAACCCAATACATTTTCTTGTTTGTATGGTCCCTTTGATAACATCATGACCTTATTGTCCATTTGACAGATAAACCATCCATGACCATGTCAGTTTACAAATGCTTATTCATGTTGGAAAAAAAAAATATGTATGTTGTTATTGAGTTGTCCATAAAAAAAAAAAAAACCAACATGTTTATGTAGATGTAAATGAAATATTCTTTCCACATCCTAAATATATGGATGTTCATTCAAGCTTTTTGTTTTTCTGTTGAAACAACATGATGGATGAAAAGCTTGAGTAGACATATTGAAATGATGGTGTGAATGTGACACATCATTGATACGTCCACTGTGAGTGGATGAGAGAACAGCTTGTAATTTGTTACAACAGAGACAGGTATACACTCATAGATTTTTTCTTAGATTAGGATTTGGGTTAGAATTTACCCTGCTTTGATATTAAAGTATGAGGGTAATGAGTTTCTGTTGTAATAAATGACAAAAAAAAGTCACAAAAATTTATGTCAGCATGAAGTGACATTTTTCACATCTGTATATGCCATGCACATTGACAAGTGCATAAAAATAAGGGTTCCTATAGTTGAGATCAACTCCAAAAAGTAAACTGACTATGAACTACTCAAAAAATAATTTCAATTACATCTGTTGTAATTGATTCAAATAGGAACCCGTCATTTACTTTTTGGTCTAATTTTTGAACAAGTAATTACAGCATGAGATTGCAGCAATGCTACCACTTGCCATGTCTGTAAGTACTTACCTGTGCTGCACACCTGAGTTGCACCAGAACTATTTCTTATTATAGTTACAGAAGTCTTTTTTTTTTTTTTTTAATATATGGGGTATCAATTTCAAGGATTTGTTAATCATTAACATCTGCCATTTGTAAACATGTAAAAATTTCTAAAACTTTCTAGTGTGATAACCCCATGATATTATGTTTTGATCCACATTTGGAATGAGAAATGGCATTTTGTATTTTATCTATAGCTAAAATTATAAAATTAAAAAAAATGTTTTTCATTTAGCAAACATTTTCCATTTTCCCCCCTTTTTTTGGAATTGTTGATTACCAAGGCAGATTTTTGTTCTTGGAAAACTTTGAACTCTGAACATGGAAAGAGATGACATGTTTCTCATGTCAACTGCCAGAGATTCTTGAAACATCACTACAGAGTTTACATTGGTAAAGCTGTAAGTTGCCCCTCAAAGTTTGGAGACAAATTGTACTCAAGCAATTTAATACTGGATTAATGGTGAGCTCCACTTATCATGCCTAAAGATTCTTTAGTAATAATGACAAGCCAATAACTATCTTTAAGAGAGCTGTTGCTGTTTGTTGGTGCAATTTACTGCTAGAGCAGATTTTTTTTGTACAATTGTGTAATAATAGACCAAAGCCATCATTTTTTTCAAAATGTAAGAAGAAAAATATAAAAAATTTGATATTTTCATTCAAAGTGTCCCTCATTGGCACCTGTATCAAAGTGCTATACGTATATCCTGGAACATACTTATTTTTTAAGTATGAAAACAAAAGTTAAATGCTAGGAGTGACTATCTTTGTTACCAGTTGTGTGAGCCACCTCCAACAGCTGATCTCTCAAGAGATGCCCAACTTTGTGTTGTCCACATGACTGAACTGTGACACACACTAGAAAAGGAGGCCTGTGAAACACTAGGATGTGGTTACCATTCTTTGCTTATTCCAAAACTAAATTGTTCCCACCACCCTCTTCCCTTGATGTGTTCTTGTAATTGCACACTAGTTGACAAGGTTAAGCCATTGGTTTGGCAAGTTGTTTTTATTTGAAATTATTAGATATTTGTAATTGTTTTAAAAAGTTATTTTATTGAAAAAATAATGCATTTTATGGTTCCACTGATCTATTTCACAGATCCTTTTATTGACCTTTTCGCTATTCACGTTTCGACTATTAATGAAAATTTGTTGTTTATAATTGAAACTATATGTACTTGTAATATAGGCTTTATTCATCACATACTTACTCTTGTTTTAGGTATATGAGCAGTTTTTGTTCAAACCAAATTTTAATATCTTGATACTTTGTGAAAGTAAAGTTGATTGCTTTTATTTAAATATTACAGGAATGAAACAGTTTAAAATTGTACATTGTACTCCAAGTTTAAGTTATTTAAGTCCAGAAACCTACAAATGAAACCAAACATTGTTAAAAAAAATAATGAAACGGTCATTACAGGAGAAATATTTGAGTACATGGCTAATGTAGATTTTTTTTCTTTTGGTAACATTTTTATGCACTAAGTAATATTTTCAACCTTTTAGGTTATTAAATTATCAAATGTATACTAAAATAATAGCATAAATTATGTAAATTTTTGACCAAACCAGCTGCTTTAATAACTCTGATGTAAAAATAAGTAGTAGATTAATGTTGATGCAACTCTTTATTGAAGCTAACATTTGCAACTCAATTGTAGCATTCTGCCCACAAAAAGATGCTATTTGCTAAACATTGTGAACAGGTGCTCTGTCACTGCTGTAGTGCTAGTGCACTCACAATATGCTGCATAATGTCTAGTAAATGTCAGTGAGTTTGTTTAGACTGTCAGGAGGTACAAGTGTGTTAATAAATCTTGTAGCAAAATGTCAGTTACTAGTAAGTAGAAGGTTGATTTTAAAACATTTAAAACAATTTATTAAATTATGTATAAATAGTTGTGTATTGTTTTTTTTAGCCAAGTTCTCTTACGAATTTGTCATGTAAAATTGAAGGGTTGCTATACTTTAAATTATAGATCACAAACATATATATCTGTATACAGTCACGTCTCTAAATGTAAACAAAATGAGAGGAGTTGAAAAAAAGAAAAAATTGAATTTTGAGGTTAGCACTATTTACATGTTTTAGGCGCCACGTTTTAACAATGACTCTAAAACTGTATTCCTATTGAATGGAAGCAGAAAATACCATACACTAATTTGATCATAATTCACTAAACATTTTCTTTACCAAAGCTAGCTGATGTAGCAATGTATGCAAACAACTGCAAATCTACTGCCATCTTTTAAAATTTAATGCACATTTTTTTTTTTTTGCAATTCCGTTAAGATGTTTACAAACACTGCCTAATTTGTTGGTTACAAATATTGTATGCAAATCTAGCACAGTTTGAGCAGAGCTAAGTAGAATGCAGATGAGATTAAGATGAGATTAACAGTTGAGGTAGTGAGATGAACTCAACTGTTGATAAGATTAACAGTTGAGGTAGTGAGATTAACTCAACTGTTGATGAGATTAACAGTTGAGGTAGTCACACTAGATGTGCTGTAAGTGAGGCTTACTACTGTTAGTGTTATTCATCCTGTTGTTTTGTTGCTGTGAGATCAACTATGTATCATTGAAACAGTCTAGGGAGTACACCTTGAATAGATCTTTAGCAAACATCACTGCTTCTCTTGTGCTGCATTCTTTTTTTTTGGACCAGACATTTAGAGATCCTCAACAGAATTACATGTAGATAGTTGGTGTTGTGTTGCTTTTAGTGTTACCAATACATATCACATCCAATTTTTAACACGTTCTCTTGTTGCAACAGTTTGACTTGTTGCCTCTCATTTTGTGCTTCATTTTTTTTTAATTCCCTCCTCTTTTTGTATTATTGATTGCAGTTAGATATTTTGACAAATAAAAGCATTTCCCACAGTTTCAGTCAGTCATTCTGTGTTTATTTTTAGTTTTGTTATTTACTGTTCAATTTGTATAGTACTAGTCCCACCTAATTTTTAACAACTAAAAATGTATTCTTTTTAGCAAAATCGTAAGTTATTTTCTTAATGTAATAATATAAAGACTAAAATCAATTAAATGAAGATTTATAAAATCATTTGATAGAATGTTGATATATACAGTTTACATGACATGTTGATTCTAAACTCTTTATCATGAAATAGTGTGAAATTATCTAATATTTCTACTTAATTGGAAAAAAAACCCAAAAAGCTGACCACTTTTTTTGACTCATTGTTTAAATACAATAAATAGCTGTTCTTAAATTTATTCAAAAGGTTTGCAGTCGTCCTCAGTGTTAATTTATTCTTTCACTAATGAGAATGATGATTGTTGTGAGTGACAACACACTAATTGGAACGGGGGGGGGGGGGGGGTTGCTTCAGCCGATGGTACACGCTTGTCACAATACATCATGTAGGCCTACCAGCTAAACAATAATTGTTACTAGATCTAGGAGTAGATCTATAAATGATTAAATACAACAGAGGGGTAGCGGGGGTTGTGGACCGCACAGGGTGACACCATTTAGGGGGGTGACACCAAGGCAAAAAATAGCAAAATATATAGAGAAAAACTTGAGGGGGGGGGGGTACAAATCGCAAGTTTGGGGGGGGGGGGTGCAAATCGAAAGTTTGAGGAGGGGGGTGCAAATCGAAAATTTGTCCCCGGGAAGGGTCGCTACGCCTCTGGGGGGGGGGGGGGGGGGTGACACCATTAAGTGCCGCACCGGGTGTTACACCCGACCTCGCTACGCCACTGAAATACAATACGATTTTCTTTAAAAAAAATTATTCAGAATGTGTACATTGATTCTGATTATTTGGGTTTTCCCGATTGTACAGCCCGCAATTGTAGGCTACCGCACCAAGTTGCACTGTCCTTAACGTCTGCAGGAAGCCAAAAACAAAACAAACAATGCTCCCCAGAAAGCAGGGCTGAGCTTTGTGTTTGGTATGGGAGGCGAATCGCTTCATTTGCTGGGCTATCTTTCATAAGGTGGGTTGCTTGCTGGCGTAGAGAAGCTTAGAAATATTAGTTTCATTCGACGTTGTCGAAAGCGTCAATTATTGTAAGTAATGTTATTAGTCTAGTCTGATTTATTCTAGATCTTGAATCTAGAACTCAAAAACCGCTTTCAAGTATAACAAAAGTAAAGAATACATCTTTTTCATGGGCCAGTTGAGACCAAATTCTTGTTTAGGGCAGGTGAATCCACAATAAACTAAAGAAAGCTGATAATTTCAAAATAATTTGTCAGGCTTCTCTACAGAAATTGGGGGAATTGGGGGGGGGGGGGGGGGGGGGGGGGGGGGGGAGGGAAGAGGGAACCAAAGTCCGTCAACCACTCCCACGAAATAAAAATAAACCGGGAGTGAACTCCCCTAAACTTTCTAGAATATTCTTATATAACTTGGAATATAGACATGATTTTTAATTACTTTAACTTTTAAAAATAGAATAGAATCTCATAGAAAAAAAGAATTGCGCACCAAGCGAACGCCAAAACAAAATGTGCATAATAGTGCGCAATATTATTAGTATTTTATAAATATACATGCGTTTTTTGAGAAATCGGAAATAGCGAGGAGAATTTCTCAGATTTAGTGTGGGGAATGTTATTGTTTCTCAGATTTAGTGTGGGGAATGTTGTTGTTTCTCAGATTTAGTGTGGGGAATGTTATTGTTTCTCAGATTTAGTGTGGGAAATTATGTTGTTTCTCAGATTTAGTGTGGGGAATTTTATTATTTCTCAGTTTTAGTGTGGGGAATGTTATTGTTTCCTCAGATTTAGTGTGGGGAATGTTATTGTTTCTCAGATTTAGTGTGGGGAATGTTGTTGTTTCTCAGATTTAGTGAGGGGAATGTTGTTGTTTCTCAGATTTAGTGTGGGGAATGTTGTTGTTTCTCAGATTTAGTGTGGGGAATGTTATTGTTTCTCAGATTTAGTGTGGGGAATGTTATTGTTTCTCAGATTTAGTGTGGGGAACGTTATTGTTTCTCATATTTAGTGTGGGAAATGTTGTTGTTTCTCAGATTTAGTGTGGGGAATGTTATTGTTTTCTCAGATTTAGTGTGGGGAATGTTGTTGTTTCTCAGATTTAGTGTGGGTAAATATTGTTGTTTCTCAGATTTAGTGTGGGGAATGTTGTTGTTTCTCAGATTTAGTGTGGGGAATTTTGTTTCTCAGATTTAGTGAGGGGAATGTTGTTGTTTCTCAGATTAATGTGGGGAATGTTGTTGTTTCTCAGATTTAGTGTGGGGAATGTTATTGTTTTCGCAGATTTAGTGTGGGGAATGTTATTGTTTCTCATATTTAGTGTGGGAAATGTTGTTGTTTCTCAGATTTAGTGTGGGGAATGTTATTGTTTCTCAGATTTAGTGTGGGTAAATATTGTTGTTTCTCAGATTTAGTGTGGGGAATGTTGTTTCTCAGATTTAGTGTGGGGAATGTTGTTTCTCAGATTTAGTGTGGGGAATGTTGTTGTTTCTCATATTTAGTGTGGGGAATGTTGTTGTTTCTCAGATTTAGTGTGGGGGATGTTGTTGTTTCTCAGATTTAGCGTGGGGAATGTTATTGTTTCTCAGATTTAGTGTGGGGAATGTTGTTGTTTCTCAGATTTAGTGTGGGGAATGTTATTGTTTCTCAGATTTAGTGTGGGGAATGTTTTTGTTTCTCAGATTTAGTGTGGGGAATGTTGTTTCTCAGATTTAGTGTGGGGAATGTTGTTGTTTCTCAGATTTAGTGTGGGGAATGTTATTGTTTCTCAGATTTAGTGTGGGGAATGTTGTTGTTTCTCATATTTAGTGTGAGGAATGTTGTTGTTTCTCATATTTAGTGTGGGGAATGTTATTGTTTCTCAGATTTAGTGTGGGGAATGTTATTATTTCTCAGTTTTAGTGTGGGGAATGTTATTGTTTCTCAGATTTAATGTGGGGAATGTTATTGTTTCTCAGATTTAGTGTTGGGAATGTTATTGTTTCTCAGATTTAGTGTGGGGAATGTTGTTGTTTCTCAGATTTAGTGTGGGGAATGTTATTATTTCTCAGTTTTAGTGTGGGGAATGTTATTGTTTCCTCAGATTTAGTGTGGGGAATGTTATTGTTTCTCAGATTTAGTGTGGGGAACGTTATTGTTTCTCATATTTAGTGTGGGAAATGTTGTTTCTCAGATTTAGTGTGGGGAATGTTATTGTTTCTCAGATTTAGTGTGGGTAAATATTGTTGTTTCTCAGATTTAGTGTGGGGAATGTTGTTTCTCAGATTTAGTGTGGGGAATGTTGTTTCTCAGATTTAGTGTGGGGAATGTTGTTGTTTCTCAGATTTAGTGTGGGGAATGCTGTTGTTTCTCAGATTTAGTGCGGGGAATGTTGTTTCTCAGATTTAGTGTGGGGAATGTTGTTGTTTCTCAGATTTAGTGTGGGGAATGTTGTTGTTTCTCAGATTTAGTGTGGGGGATGTTGTTGTTTCTCAGATTTAGCGTGGGGAATGTTATTGTTTCTCAGATTTAGTGTGGGGAATGTTGTTGTTTCTCAGATTTAGTGTGGGGAATGTTATTGTTTCTCAGATTTAGTGTGGGGAATGTTTTTGTTTCTCAGATTTAGTGTGGGGAATGTTGTTTCTCAGATTTAGTGTGGGGAATGTTGTTGTTTCTCAGATTTAGTGTGGGGAATGTTATTGTTTCTCAGATTTAGTGTGGGGAATGTTGTTGTTTCTCATATTTAGTGTGAGGAATGTTGTTGTTTCTCATATTTAGTGTGGGGAATGTTATTGTTTCTCAGATTTAGTGTGGGGAATGTTATTATTTCTCAGTTTTAGTGTGGGGAATGTTATTGTTTCTCAGATTTAATGTGGGGAATGTTATTGTTTCTCAGATTTAGTGTTGGGAATGTTATTATTTCTCAGATTTAGTGTGGGGAATGTTGTTGTTTCTCAGATTTAGTGTGGGGAATGTTATTGTTTCTCAGATTTAGTGTGGGGAATGTTATTATTTCTCAGTTTTAGTGTGGGGAATGTTATTGTTTCTCAGATTTAATGTGGGGAATGTTATTGTTTCTCAGATTTAGTGTTGGGAATGTTATTATTTCTCAGATTTAGTGTGGGGAATGTTGTTGTTTCTCAGATTTAGTGTGGGGAATGTTGTTTCTCAGATTTAGTGAGGGGAATGTTGTTGTTTCTCAGATTTAGTGTGGGGAATGTTGTTGTTTCTCAGATTTAGTGTGGGGAATGTTGTTGTTTCTCAGATTTAGTGTGGGGAATGTTGTTGTTTCTCAGATTTAGTGTGGGGAATGTTGTTGTTTCTCAGATTTAGTGTGGGGAATTTTGTTTCTCAGATTTAGTGAGGGGAATGTTGTTGTTTCTCAGATTAATGTGGGGAATGTTGTTGTTTCTCAGATTTAGTGTGGGGAATGTTGTTGTTTCTCAGATTTAGTGTGGGGAATGTTGTTGTTTCTCAGATTTAGTGTGGGGAATGTTGTTGTTTCTCAGATTTAGTGAGGGGAATGTTGTTGTTTCTCAGATTTAGTGTGGGGAATGTTGTTGTTTCTCAGATTTAGTGTGGGGAATGTTATTGTTTTCAGATTTAGTGTGGGGAATGTTGTTGTTTCTCAGATTTAGTGTGGGGAATGTTGTTGTTTCTCAGATTTAGTGTGGGGATTTTTGTTTCTCAGATTTAGTGAGGGGAATGTTGTTGTTTCTCAGATTAATGTGGGGAATGTTGTTGTTTCTCAGATTTAGTGTGGGGAATGTTGTTGTTTCTCAGATTTAGTGTGGGGAATGTTGTTGTTTCTCAGATTTAGTGTGGGGAATGTTGTTGTTTCTCAGATTTAGTGAGGGGAATGTTGTTGTTTCTCAGATTTAGTGTGGGGAATGTTGTTGTTTCTCAGATTTAGTGAGGGGCATGTTGTTGTTTCTCAGATTTA